AAACCATTTTGATTTTATTTGGAGTAGTCCCCCATGCACTGAATATAGTGTAGCAAAAACTAGGGGAATTAGGAATATCGAATATGCAAATAGTATTGTCTTAAAAACTATTGAGATTATCAAATATTTCAATCCTAAATATTTTGTAATCGAAAATCCACAAACTGGATTATTAAAACATCAGGAGTTTATGGATGAGTTTGATTTTAAAGATGTAGATTACTGTAAATATGGAATGCCTTACAGAAAACGCACTAGGCTCTGGAATAACATTACAACTTGGAAACCTAGAGAATTATGTAAAAAGGATTGTGGCAACATCAGGAATAATAAACATATTGAAACCGCACAACGGCTACCATCAAAAACCAAAGCAGAATGGGGAGACAATCCAGTATTTCATAAACAGGAAGATTTATATAAAATACCTAGTGAATTAATTTGTGAAATCTTGGTGAGTTTGACGGATTAAGGATTTTGAGTTTGGGGTTGGGCTTGAAACTTGAAATTTCTAGGTTCATCCAACGACAATACAGTAAAAAATAGGAATTCTAAAAAATGAAAATATTAATTTTTAAGGGGATAATCCATAGTTTATCAAATTTAGAAAGCGCCAATATTCATATAGATATATCAGGAAACTCCCACCAATTGCCAAACAGGGCACAAAAAAAATGGCGAGAGTTTCCCCTTATATTATATATATACCCCGCCCCAGAAAAACAAAAACCCTCCCAAACAAGTCCTTACCTCGTAGGGCTCGGTCTGGAAGTCAAAGGCGGCGATGAAGATACCTGCACGGAGGCAAGTCGCGTGGTGAAGCAAACTAAAAACACTTGATAAAGGCGGTAGCCTACACCCCTACACCCCCAAAAGGTGGTAGCCTACACCCCTACACCCCCAAAAGGTGGTAGCCTGCACCCCTACACCCCCAAAAGGTGGTAGCCTACACCCCTACACCCCGAAAAGGTGGTAGCCTACACCCCTACACCCCCAAAAGGTTCATTCAAAAGAGTGGCAAGCGCAAAATGCAGGCAGTCAAAACTACTTTCTTCACGCGTGCCATCTGGTGAATGCCTTCCAGAGAAAATGCTCACAGGGTCGTGCTGTCCAGCAACCACAAGTGAAGCCTCAAAATTTGCTCATCACATCGCAGCGCAATTTGGCGACTGCTCCACAGAAGTAGGAGCTCCAGCATCGGTCAAAATCACCCGACGCTTTTGCTCATCAACGATGTCAGAAACAAAGCGTTTGTTCTCAAAACGAGCCTCTGAACCATGGAAGAAATGATATTTCTCGGCATAACAGCCCATCAGGTATGCCATCATCTCACCATGCACCGAGGCAAGAGCCTTTGCCGATGCGCCCAATGTCTCCAAGGAAGGAAAGAGCATTGTAGTGGCAATGGCAATTCGGCTCTCGCTGACGTCATCCTTGCCTTCGTACTTTTTCTCCATCATGTTCTTCAACTCCACCAAGGTGGTGTCATTGGCGTTCCTCAATGCCAACTTCACTATGTCTCGCCCTTCACCAACCATAAGCTGAACTGCTTCCAGCTTGTCCTTCTGAGCCGTGACAAAGCGTTGGAAGTCATCAGGGAAGGCGTGAAGGTCAAAGGTCTCATCTCCCTTGGTGGCGAAAGCCTTCGCCTTGGTTTTGAGCACTTGGAGCGCCTGATGCTTGGAGACATGCTTTCTCACCAGCCCACCGCCCTTGAGCTTGAAGTGGATGAACACCTCCAACCTGCCATAGTGAGCATAGCTCTTCAAGGTCTGGTCATCCTGCAACTCTTGGTAGTTGGACATCAGCTTGAAGTCCGCCGTGTCAAGCTCAAGCTTGTTCATCTGACCATGCTGCTTCTCCTGCGTCTTCTGCACGAACCACTCCTTGAACTCCAAAACCGTCATAGCTGGGCGGAAAGGGCGCTCAAAGATGTTGCGACCCTCGCATGGCTCTCTCAAGACCACCTGAATCAGCTCAATCTTCTCGTTGTCCAAGTCCCAAGAGTCGTTCAAGTAGCCCTGGTCGTGGCGGGCTTCATCATCGAAGAGCTGGATGAGATTCTCCACCACCTCTGGGTCACTCTCTTGGTTGACTTTGTCCTCTGCCTCCTGAGCCTCTTCCTCTGACTCCTCCTCCTGAGCCTCTTCCTCTGACTCCTCCTGAGCCTCTTCCCCTGGCTCCTCCTGAGCCTCTTCCCCTGGCTCCTCCTGAGCCTCTTCCTCTGACTCCTCCTGAGCCTCTGTCGTCATTGGTGGGGCTGGCGCTTCTGGTGCACGAAGATGGCTCATTGTGCCATAGTTCTCCAAGAGCAACTGCCAATTGGTCAAACAATGATTGACCATCTCATCGCGAGACATTCGCAAAGGCAGATTGTGAGCCCCCTTGTGCGCAAACTTCTGCAACGTCTGCTTGCTGAGCCCATCGAAGTCTCCAGCAGTTAAGGGACGAAAGCTCTTGCCCTCTGTGTTGACCACGGCACATCCACTCACCTTGAAGATTTTGAAAGTGTGTGTGAAGTCATTGTCAACAAACACCAGCGAAGCTGATGAAGCCATCAAGCTAAGTGAAGGATGATGGGGCAACACTTGGGTAAACAGGATGCTACGGTAATTATGCGTTGTTCCAATCCAATGCTCAAGCCATACCCAACAACTGCCACTCAAGACACCGACACTAGATGGCGCACTCACAGCATCTTGTAGAGGAAGTTCACGAAGCGCGGTGCGGGTAGGCGGTTCCCAGAAAATCACCCTTAAATCCTACAAGGGACACCACGCCCCAAAAAAATATATGATGAAACTGATGAAACGAAGGAGGGAGTGATGTTGTTGCTGTTCTATTTTTTGTCCGGGAAATGGACAAATCGTTTTTAGACAGTTCGAATATTTTTTTGATGACAAATATTTTTTGCAATATATTTTGCAAAATTTATTTTTTTGAAATGGATGAGGCGAGGAGATTGAGGAAATGACATTTTGGAGGGTAGTTGGTGAAATGAATGAGGCGAGGAGAAAGGAGAAAAGGATGGCGAAAATTTTGGAAAAATGATGATAAAAAAACGGATGAGATGGACAGAAAGGAATGTAGAAAAATGATGAAAACAAATAAGGGTAGAAGATGGAAGATGAAAAAAAATGTAGGGTGGGGGGTATGTATGAAGCAATTTATTTGCGGGGCGTGGCCCTCCACTACTGATTCACAATAGGCGACCAAACATGCACCCACAGGATCAAGTGCGAAACAAGATTAAGGAACTACAGCTTCTTGCAACCCAAGAACACAAATGCTTCAAGACATTTGTTGGCAGGTACCGCAAGGAGTATCAGCCTCCTAAACAAAAAGTGTTGCAAGTTTTTGCACCTTTCACAGGGTTCCAACTGCATCTTATGGCAGAAGCCGCTCTCAGACACAATCAAGAGGCCCGTTCTTTTTCGATGGACGACGAATGGAACCCTTTTGTGAAAACACTGCTGCAAGGCAAGGAAAGAATGAGACACCATTTCCAATTCCTTGACGGTTTGAACCCTCAGGGTGAAATGCCCTGGCCTGCTCTAAACCAGTATCCCCTCGATTTGTTTTCGAGTTGGCTTGCACGTTGGCTCCTTTCAGAAATTCTGGTGGATTCCTCGTCAGCCGCAGCGTCATTCTTTCATTTGTCCTTTGTTTCGGCAGTCTGCTCAGCAGCAGCGCCTCTGCTCTGGTCTTCCCGTTGCTTGTTTTGGATTGTTTCTTCCCACTTTCGGAAGCTAGTTGTGTCGCCACTTTTATATTCGAATGCTGCCTATTGTGCCAGCATGCTACCGTTGGCATTGACTCGTGAACTTGCAATTTTGATGCTGCCGCCTGTGTCACTGACTTGGTGCCTGCATTGTCCTGATGCATGCATCTTCAGTATAAAGCCCGCAAGCGGCCGCTGTCATTCAGCTGCTCATCATCGATATCTATGCTTGCAGGCTGTGCTGCCTTTGTCATTCCTGCTGCCTGCCTTATCATGTTGGGTGAACCCGCGGTACTGGCATGCTGCCAGTATCACTTAGCTGCTTCGTACATGCCGCTTGCATGATCATTATGCCGCTTAGACGCTGTTTGCATTGTGCTGTTTCCATGCACATCACAGCCCTTCTCATTCCTCAGCCTTCAGCGTTCCGCGAGAGTTTCCTCCTCATGACATCGGCTCTAAGCTTCTGCGACGCTTTGCTTTTGAGGCCAACTAGATCACTTTGGCCGTCGTGCCAAAAGTTCTTTGTCTCCGAACTTGCTTTTGGACACGTTCGTTGTACAGATCTTCGTGGCTGCGGGCCTATCTTGAGGCTTCGCTTTGGTCCAGTCCCAGACTCGCTCTGTTTGCGGGATGTATTGACCCCATTTAGGCACATCTTCAGATAAAACAGTGTTTTTGTTGAATCATTCTGGGTCATTTCCCAAGGGTGTAATCCCAGGGTGTAACACAAAAACCCTCAGAAAAAGGAAACCAACCAATTTCCGATAAGACACCATTTATCACGGACAGTGTTACTTACAGTTGGTTTACTTGGGTGGACCCCGATGTCGTGTTTTGTAAAAGGAAACCATGTCTTCTTTTTTTTAGAAGTAGGCTTGTTAGAAGTCATCTCGAAATGAAACCTAGCTAGGTATTTCTCATTGTGAGCGTGTGTTTTTTGAGGGTACCCCTCTTGGGTGTTATGTAAAGAAAAACCAAAAGGACAACTTCAGAAAACACACACCCACACAAACACCCACCAAAGCAAGGATGTCCTGTAGAATGTCCCTTTTCGGTGGCGTTCTATCCTCCTGGGCTCCCGAAGAGTTCGGAGAACCTTTCTGAGGGTTTGGGAAGGGGGGGGGGGTTAATGTCTCTCCTGATGTTCACTGGCAACATTTGGATTTGACTCTTTCGCCCATTCGCGCTTTGGTTTTTCGGGACATCTTCCCAGGGTGTAGTACAAAAACCCCGAGACTTCGGGTTTTTATCTCCAGCAAAAGCGGGCTGCCGTCAGGTTGCGCAGCAGCTGCAGGGCCCGGGGCTCGCGGACATGCGCAGCTCCATCCAGCCCGGGCTCCCGGACGCTCTCGGACGGTCTGGGTGGTCTGGGCCTGCGTCGAATTTTTTTTCCATCCGGCGCCTTGGCCATGGGTCAGAATCCCAGTGGTTACCTCCCAAACCCCACTAAAATAGGTTCTAAGATGGGCGGTGCACCTACCCCAAAATGGTTCTTTCGCGCATAAGAAGCTGCCAAAGGGGAGATTTGAGACGGATTCCGGTGGGTCTGCTTGATAGACTTGGGGCTGGAGGCAGGCAGGGGACCGTCTGCTCAGCCGCGACCCGACTTGGAAGGCCCTCCTTGCAACAAAGGCACACACGGAAGACGAAAAGGAAGCGATTTGTACCACGGAGTTGGAAGAAGACACTTAGGAAGGCCATGGGAAAACGATGTGGATGCTTTTCGGGACCGGCTTGCAAAGCTTGAGCAAGACATCATGCAGGAGGCACGGCAACAAACGGCTAGGTTCGCGACATGTGTGCGAAAGGATGCAGGAGCTGGTTTGAATCTTGAGGATGACATACAATCTGAGTACCATGTTAGGATGTAATCCAATTTGGTACCATAATGTTTGAATTTTGTGAGGATGTGGATGTATACATCTTGTGTAGAGCTTCGACGTTTGGGCACTTGAGCTTCCGGATATGTGTCAAACTACAGGGATTCGGACCTCCAAAATTTGTTTGGCGATCTTTTTTTGCCGGGTTTCCTGTAAACCGACCTGAAAAGGCGTTGAGCCTTTGAAGAACACGCAACACATTGCCTGGTGCATCCCAGGGAGGCCATGTCGCCCATTCGCGAAGCGAAGACGCAGATCCTGGATACGCCGGCGGACTCGGGCGATAGAATGGATTGGCGTACTGAGTCTAGCTGTGAACTAGTTGGAACCCCCAAATCGTGCTGCTTTTCCTTTTGGCTTCCCCTACAAAAGGTCCCAAGACACACAGATGGTTTCCAGTTCTTGCCGGAGACAGCTCGGTCAAGTTGCGAGTGCATGACACGGGATGGGGTGAAGGTGACAAAAGATGCCGAATGCAGCCGGTACAGCTCTAGAAGTTGACGGCAAAGGACCACGTGAGAAGTTGGGGTCTGAAATGGCAAACCTCGATTTATCACATACCTGTGATCGATTAGAAGGGGTAATCTCCCCTTGTAAGGAGATCCTTCGCTTTCCCCATATTCATCGGATTGGCTTATTAATCCAGGGTCAAATTTCAGTGGATTCTTTCTGAAAAAGTTCAGACGGTATGCGAACCGGCATTTTCAATCAGGCATTTCTCGAATTGCATTGTCAACTCGACTGCCACAAGTGGCAGAGGGGATTTTCGGGCATGTGGGTATGGGTCAAAATTAAACCACCAGGAATTGGACCGCACATTTTAGTCCTTGTTTCCATTTACCAGGGCAAGCCATTTGGCTGTGGGTCAAAAAAAGGTCCCCCAAATGGCTTGCCCTGGCAAGTGGAAACATGGACCAAAACCAGTGGTCCAACTCCTGGCGGTTTTTCATTTTGACCCATTTGGGGTACCTACTATTGTGGTCCCCTGGTGGTTTAATTTTGACACATACCCATTTGGGGGTTCCTCTATTATTGACCCGCAGCCCATGTGACGGCCACCTTTGGCGCGTCCGATGGGACGCAGGGTGGGCTTCTTCGTGAAGCCTGATGGCTTCCAGAAGGAGACCGAGCGTGGGGGCCCGGACAGTGCGCGGCCTCAAAAACGCCGCGGTGAGAAGATCGGGCCGTTGTTTGGGGGGGGGGTGGAAATTCGTTGCAGATGGGACGGTTGTTTTGGGGGGGAAATTCAACAAGGGTTTAGTTGAAAGAGGAGCCAAAAGAACAGGCACCCGCAAAAATTTGGGCTCTCCTCGTTTAGCACATGCGCGTGTCACGAGTCAAGTGGCGCCTTCTGATTTGAGGATTGTGAACGGCGACAACTCCGCGGCGGGGTTTGGGCTGGGGGTGGGGTCGCTTGCCGTACTTTCCAGGCTCTGCGCTTTGCATGGCCACGCATTGTGGCATTGTAGCCCCCATGTGCCACTTTGGGTTACCCGGCCATTGACAGGGATTACATTTCTTTAGAGCCTGAAGAGGGTGGATGCACGGAAGATTGTGGCATGTATGCTTGCGGATAGGCGATATTTGATGCTAGAAAACCCATGGTTTTCTACTTGGCAGCTCGAAGCGTGGGCAAGCGCTCTTATCAAATAAATGATGTTTAAACCAAACAGTCTAATAATCTATGATCAACTTGGGAGGGGCATCGTGACTCACATATCTTCACTCAAAGCCATGAACTCACGAATTGATGTGCATGGATGGGAGCCGCGCACAAGAAGCCGTTTCCAGGGACCTCTTTGTTTGGCCAGACTCTGTTAGGCGCCAGGCAGGGCACCCGGCATTTCCTGACCGAGTCATCCCACTCGCCAGCTTCAGCCGTCCATCTTGGCACTCTTCGCGATCTACCTGCTCATCTTCTTTGCCGGTTTCTGCGCTCTGGCCGGGGCTCCGGGGCGATCCAGTTCGGATCTTCTTTTTTTCCCTAACAGCTGAAAGCTTTGGGGTCTCAGCCCAGATAGGCTCCGGGGTGGTTCGGGGCGACCCTGAGCTAAGGTTCCACCAGGGTTCCACCAGGGGTTCCACCAGGGTTCCACCAGGGTTCCACCAGGGTTCCACGAGGGTTCCACCAGGGTTCCAGCAATTTCTTCGAGGGCTGGGGTGGTCTGGTTTGAGGAAGGTTCCACGAGGGTTCCACCAGATTTCCAGAATTCTGCCACGGTTCCACCAGGTTCTGCAAGGGCGGGGTGGTCTGGGGTGGTTTGAGGTAAGGTTCCACGAGGGTTCCACCAGGTTCCACGAGGGTTCCACCAGGTTCCACGAGGGTTCCACCAGGGTTCCAGCAATTTCTTCGAGGGCTGGGGTGGTCTGGTTTGAGGAAGGTTCCACGAGGGTTCCACCAGATTTCCACCAGAATTCTGCCAGGGTTTCACCAGGTTCTGCGAGGGCTGCAGGGTGGTCCGAGGTGGTTTGAGGTAAGGTTCCACGAGGGTTCCACCAGGTTTCCACCAGGGTTCCACCAGCCCGTTGTGCTCCGGACGAGGGTTCCACCAGGGACCAATTTCTTCGAGGGTGCGGCGTGGTCCGGAGAAGGTTCCACGAGGGTTCCACCAGGGTTTCACCAGGGTTCCACCAGCGGTCCGGGCTGGTTTGAGGTAATGTTCCATGAGAATTGCACCAGAATTCTTGCAAGGTAAAATTCCATTCCAACACAGTTCTAGCAGGGTCCCACGAGGTTCTGCGAGGGCTGCGGGGTGGTCCGGGGTGGTTTGAGGTAAGGTTGTGTAAGGGTTTCAGGGTTCCACAAGATTCTGCGAGGGCTGTGGCCTGAGGTTTCACAGGATTCCACACGGGTTCCACAAGGCTCCACAATGCTCCACCAAGGGTGTGTCGTGCGCCCGTCGTCTGAAAAGCCATCGGATCAAGATCGCTTTGCTCATGGGCGGAACACTAAGCAAAACCGAAATCATTGGTTTTTAGCACACTTTCACTGTTTTGTGACTTGCTCACTTGCTCAGGCAAATGTTGGCTTTGTGGCAAATCAGATCACGTCGCTGCGGAACTCACGGTGCAGCAGAGTAAATGCTTGGCTTTGCTGCTTGGTGGGCTTTGGGTTCCAAGAATTCCACGAGGCTGCGAGGGCTATGAGGTCAGACACCAAATTCTGCAAAAGCTATGGGGTACACGAAAGTTGCGTGAGAACGGTTTGCGAGGTTCACCGGGCCTAGGTCGGGGCCCGATTGCACTGTCGGGGCCTTTGGGCCCGATTGCGCCATCGCGCCCCGATCGGGGCCCGACTCAGTCGGGCCCCGTCAATTATACCAAGCTGGCATCGCCTAGTTTTGCTATAGATACAGTTGCAATCCGCAGACTATGGAAAACCAGCGTTGAGCAATAATATGGGCGGGTGGGGTTGCACCACGGGACGATCGGGGCCCGATTGCACCGTCGGGCCCCGATCGGGCCCCGATTGCACCGTCGGGCCTTGGGCCCCGATTGCGCCGTCGGGCCCCGATCGGCCCGACTCAGTCGGGCCAGTCGGGCCCCGTCAATTGTACCAAGCTGGCATCGCCTAGTTTTGCTCTAGATACAGTTGCAATCCGCATGCTAAGGAAAGCCGGCGTTGAGCTATAATATGGGTAACTAGAATTACACCACGGGACGATCGGGGCCCGATTGCACTGTCGGGCCCCGATCGGGCCCCGATTGCACCGTCGGGCCCCGACCAGGGCGAGATTGCGCTGTCACTCGTAGCTTTGCTTTTACAAGGCGGCATTGTCAGCAACACCGGCGGTAAGGATGGTCCCGGGGCGTTCCGCGAGGATTCTTTATTTGTTCTTTTTTTCCCCAACAGCTGAAGGGTTCCACCAGGGTTCCACCAGGGCTCCACCAGGGTTCCACATGCGGTTGGGGATGTCACCTGAGCTTATTTTGTTTTTTTCGGACGGCGAGCAGGGAGGCAGTCAGGAAGATGTGGCGATGGGCAGTTGCTTCCAGTAAGGTTTGCCATGTAGACTGGCAGTCATCAATGTGAAGCCATTGAGGGAGTGGTTTACAGAGAATCAACTTGATGGCTTTTTGTCACAAATGCAATACTGACAAGTCAGATTCTTCCCAGGTTGAATATCGCAGAGGATTTTTTGAGGCAGTACATTGGTTTTTTCATGCGCACGCTCGCAAAACTATGGTTGGATAATTTCCTCTTGGGGCCCGCTCTTTGGCCAGTTTGAAGCTTGAAGCTGTCGAAGAGCTGAGGGCGGCTTCTGCGCGAAGCACAAGGGCAAGTCAGAGAAGGACCGAAGCGGTTTTGGCTCCCGGTGAATTTCTCGGGGGAGTTTGAGCAGACCAAGCACCGGCATGCGGTCCTGCAGCTTGTGAATCTGGAATAAGACCGTTGGTTTGTTGAGATTGACTGGCCACCTAGAAGAGAACTCACTGTCCAACGATCTTATGCGCTATTTGTGCATTGGTGACTTGTTCCATTTCTGCACAGAGTCTGTGTTTGTGAAGCATGCGAAGGAGGAACTACAGGCATCCTTGAAGCTTTCAACCTAGCAGGCCTAGCAGGGGATCAAGTCCAATTGCCTCTCAAGGATCACTGCTGCGTTCGGCTCTGAGCTGACAGAAACACCAGTCATTTCCCACTGCAACTGACCGTTGCAGTGGATTTTCGGATATGGCTGGCAGAACCCGCCCAGGAAGCAGCATGTTGAACATTGCTCCGACCGCCATGCATTGAGTTGCCCTAAGTAGCATTGAGCTTATCTAAGTTGAGTTTTGAAGGGTGAAAAGGACCTGACTGGAAGAGACTGACGTTGAACTGACAGCGATTTTGGGGGCAACTTGTCCTGGCCCGATTGGCTTTCGTCCTAACTTTCAATACGTCGCTCAGGTGCGCTTCTCTATGGGATGCAGCATGTGCTGCCTTCAGCTGATTTGCAAAGCGAACAGCTAGAATTGCACAGACAAGGCAATGTCAGCACAAGGGCAATGTCAACCATGTACATCAATGTTGGTTTAACATTCGCATGCGGGCACATTCTTTTTCCCCAACAGCTGAAAGCTTTGGGGTCTCAGCCCAGATAGGCTCTGGGGCGGCCCTGAGGTAAGGTTCCACGAGGGTTCCACGATCCTGTTCAGTCCAACGTTTTTTTTTTTTTTTAATCGTGGGTCAACTAAGAAGGAAACGCCGGCCAAGACGGCCTCGCAAACAGGCAGCTTCACAAAGGCCATGTACGCGGCTGCTTGAAGTGGGATGAGAAAGCGGCGCCTGATCCAAGTGCGGCTTGCCGTACGACACGTTATATAGGAGCTCAGTTCGACCATGCACAGATGTCTGAGCCGCTGTCCAATGTCGAAGAGCATGGACATGGTCCTCCTTGACCACATTGGGGAGGCTTATGGGGACTTGAAGCTTTCTGCACAGATTTTTGTTTTGCGTCTCATAAGGAGGCAGGCAGCGTGAGAGTACAACTGCGCAATGCACCATCAAATCAAAAGTCTCCCAGGATACAGGGGGTACGGCATATCGGGTGATACCCATGCGTCTGCTTCTGCGCAAAGCTCTCAGGGATTCTTTTGCTCTCACCCGGGAGACCCGATTTGTCACTGCAGTGGTTTGGATGTGTAGTAGAGCCTTTTCGCTGCTCAGGTGCAGTGCTTGCATTTACTCCATGGTCGTGCTGATGATTGGTGGCATCATGGCGGGGTGGGCCCGGGGATTGGACGAATTCGATGGTCTGGCCGGAGACCAAGTCAGAAAGGAGAACGTGGCGAGCAACAGCATATCTGCCTACGTCCATAAAAGCAACTGCAGAAACACCGCAGCAACAATATGAAACACCGACAATGTTTGCAATTAATCTTGCAGCCAAAGCACAGCGAACCTATTGACAACAGAAATACACAAGACACACTTGCATGATCAAGAGCAAGCACAACAATTGCGACAGCTTCACCACCCACCACCCACTACCCACCACCCACCACTCACCACCCACTACCCACAACCCACCACCCACCACCGCCACCACCCTCCAAAACCCTCCACCACCCACACCCACAACCCGCATATTTTGCAACGCCCTCAATGGCAGTGATGGAATTGATCCACACTTCACTGACAGTGCATTCCGAGAGATGGTTCATAATGATGCTGCCTGGAATCTTTTCTTACTGCAAAATGTGATCACTGCAAAAGGGGTGACCCAATCATCATCAAAGTGAATGTACACGGCGCAGGTGACCTAGTTGTCACTGGCTCAATGCGCAAATGGATACCATGCCGCCTCATTGTCCGTTCGATGCCGTCAGCAATGTGGACATGCAAATCTGAACGCGGAATCCGAACGCGGCATGAGCTGGCAATCATCTCCGTAACTTGAATCACGAGGTCAATGTGGGACCTCACAAATACATGGGTGAGTGACTGTTTCATGAATTGCAGACGCTTTCCTGAATCCAAGCACAACTGGCTGATCCTCCAGAAAGGTTCAAATTAGCTCCTTGGCAAATCCTTCTGTGGCAGGAGACAATTCGTACGAATATTATATTACAGAATTGGATGCGGGCACTGTAAACCAGAGCATGAATGAATGGCAATGGGTCCTGCTTGGCAATATTTCAGGAATGGTGAGTGTGGAACACTCCTTCTTCGGCAATCTTGCCAAACCACTGGAGTCAGTGCTTCCCTTTGTAAATGCTGTTGAGCCACAGGAAGAGTCTTTGTCAAGACATTCGGGTGCCAACACTTCTCCACCGCGCCTCTCTTGCTGAATGCTCAAATCTGTCTTCCACCGAACAGAATCCGCCACATCGCTGGTGCCTAAAGGAATTGCTTGAATTCCGGGAAGTTGATCTGCTCCATGGTCAGAATCTCCGCACAAATTCGGCGGGAATATGGTCACGGCAAATGAGAGCGGACGTCAGCTGGCCATTAAGCAGAAAGGGAATGCGCACACACACACACACACACAGAATGTCAGATATTTTTGGTTCTTTACAGTTGAGTAAAATGGCAATCATGCATGAAACGGTTCCAAATTCAGATAGAATGTCGGACGGTTCAGGGTTCCTTCCCGAATCTTCATCACCAGGATGCCCCCGGAAACAAACTCCCGAACGAACAAGAATCGCTGGGGGATGCTCGATCTGATTGCCACCGCTTTTGCCTGCCTGGAATCTGTGAAGAGAAACTGTGCACCTTGGGGGCCACCGGGGTTTTCTGAATTATGTGGGTGTGGGTCAAAATTAAACCAGGAATTGGACCGCAGGTTTTAGTCCATGTTTCCATTTGCCAGGGCGCTTGCCATTTTGGGGTTACCCGTTTTTTGACCACAGCCAGGTAGGGATTTAATGAAAAGAGCCCGGGCCGCAATTTGGCTTCCCCACTGCTCAAGGCACTGGCCGGTGTTCTGCTGTCTGCTGAAATGTGAATGCCCAGCGTGTTGAGCGCTACTCCTTTCTAGGTCCAATCATGTGAGCTTCTTTCCAACATCATCAAGCGCCTCAACAATGTCGTTGATCTTGTGTACTTAATCCACGGGACAATTCCTTGACATGTCAACATGCAATGCTGCAAGCTGCACAAGTTTTTCAACCAATCTCCATTACAGCTTCTGTTCCTCAGAATTCAACAGCTCGTTCTCAAGCAATTTCGCAGGAATGAGATGGTCTTATCCTTAGTCACTTTGCCAGCCTGTTGAAACAAAGCACCTTTTTTCAAATCTCTGACGAATATGATTTTTGTCACCAACGAACATCAAATCGTCGACATACACCAAGGCATACATCCAGGTTCATGGCAATGGCCGAGGCAAGAAGGAATTTCAAATTGGACAAGCTATGAGTTGATGCCAGTGTGTCGGCTTTGTCCTCGACACTTATCTGCAACTGCAAGAATCATAGCAATAATACGAGCGCTACCAAGAACAACCATACCAGAGCAAGAGCAACTTTATGAGCAATGCGTTTGAACATAGCACAACAGCAAGGCACGTAAGAAGAACGCAGAGCAACAGCTGCAACCACATGCCAGGTGATTGTTGCAATGGTGGGAAGCGGAACATGCCTGGTGCTGCTCGACTTCAACCAGGAGCGGGGACGCGTCAACTGGCTTTCGGGAAAGCAAGTTGCCTGGTAGGGAGCCACAGAGTTGAAGGGTCGGCAATGCTTGAAGTCGCAAGACGTCAGGTTGAGCGATTGCACATAGCTTTGGGGGGGATTGGGTGAGACCGGCCCAAACAGACTCAGACCATGGGCCTCACTTGATCCTTTGCAGGAAATGGGCGAGAGCCTGATGGCAGCTTTGGGTACGCTCCCAGAATCACGCAGTGGCGGCTCATGACATCCGTCACCGCACGGCCTCGTATTTGGGTGTTCGATTCGCCAAGAGAGTTGTTGGTAACGGTTCGGTTATAACCCACTTTTGAGTCCCCTGAAGTCGGTATGGGTCAAAGTTAAACTAGGCCACAGGTTTTAGTCCTTGGTTTCATTTATCAGGGCAAGCCATTTTGGGTGCTCATTTTTGACCCACAGCCAAGTGGGGTTCACCTCGTTGTCAGGGGGGTTATACCCCAAGTGGCCAGCCGCTTATTTTTTCTCGGCCGAGTCGACCGAACGACGCAAGGTCAAGAGGTGGATCCCACCTTGCAGATGGCCCTAACCATCGCCGACAGGCGAGAGGGAGCAGAGTTGGGCAAGCTGAGGTGGGTCAACACCGGTTTGGGGATCCCATGTTGGGGTGGGTGAATTCACCACCCATCTTAGAACCTATTTTAATGGGGGATTGGGATTTCACTGGGGGTACGGTGGCCAACTAAGTGCGGAGACGTGCGACATCCTTGGTCTGTGCTGACTCTCTTGAAGCGGCGTTCAACCCAGGCAAAGCTTTCGGATGGCCACTTTCTGGCCTGGAAGTTCAACTTTTGCGGGTCAAAGACTCTCCCCGGCATCTTGGGAGTTCCTGAGGCCGAACTGTGATTCGCGCAAGAAACAATCTTCTACTTTGCAAAGTGGCGAGTAAGGGACAATCCCAACCATAACCAGCTGTCGCCTTCTTAGTTCTTTGCATGGTTCTGGGATTTCCATTTTAAAATACATTGTTTCTTTGAATCCCGCCACATTTTATTTGCCACAGCCATGTCTTTTCGCTTTTTTTCACGTGGGGAAGCGCTGGCTGTGGTCGCCCGGCAGGTGCCTGTCGCTGGAGTCCACCACCACGAGTGCCAACGCCACCCGGAACCTTGCGGACCGGGAGTCGGGGCGGGTTTTACCGGGGAGAGCGTCGCAAAGGGGGGGAAAGAGGTGAGTCACAATCAAAACCCTTTGGTAAATGAAGGGTAAGGGGCAATCCCAGCCAGAAATGGTTGCGGATATCCGCCTTTTCAATTTCCGACATGGTTCTGGGTTCATCATTTTTGTACCAGGTTTTGATTGTGACTCAGGGTGGCTTTTATTGTTCGGTTGCGCAAAGCTCACCTGGCTGTGGTTGTCAAAAATAGGGTAACCCCAAAATGGCAAGCGCCCTGGTAAATGGAACCAAGGACTAAAACCCGCGGTCCAATTCCTGGTGGCTTAATTTTGACCCATACCCACCTGAAAACAAAACATCGGGAAACACTTGGAAGTGGGGTGGATAAATTCCAACTCGGACATATTGAGACCAAAGGTATTCGGTTCAAAGGAAATCAGCTGGGTATTTCGTAAGCTCCAGCTTACCCGTGACACATGTTCTAGTACTGAGGCATGAAGCCGCTTGTCGGGATGGCTTCACCTGACCTTCCAGCAGGAAATCCAGCTGCAAGCATTGTTTGTTCTCACAAACCCAGCCCTGAAGAAGCGTGTAAGATTCACTTGAGGTTGTCACCATTCCCAACAATGAGGTGCCAATATGGTTCACCGCTTCAGGCATATCGCTCAGAAGCCTTTGGTAGATGTTGCGTTTGGCTGCGTTAGGGAGTCACATCGCCACCTGCGAATTGAAGATGTGTATTGGGATGGCAAGGACATCATCAAGATCCCTTCCACAAGCAACGCGAGCCAGGCACAGCGCTCGTGAGAAGAAACGCACTGCACGTGTGCCGTTCGCCTCCATCGGAATGCTGTTTTTTTGGGGGAAAGCACACATGATCAATTTGCCATGGAGATGCTGGGAGCTTTCATTTTGAATAGCTGTCGAGGTGCAGCAAATAAGACTCAGAAGAGTGTTGCGCTATGCCAGATGACTACCGTGCGCGAAACCCTCATCGACTTGGCGCGCGCCCTGATTCGGTAACGTGGCATGTGACTTTTCAAGAGGTCAGCAGCAGCATGGAACAAACCAGGCTCTTTTGCCGCGGAGTGTTGGCGGATTTGCAGCAGCTTGTGTTTTCTGGTTGAAGTAGCCGACGCGTACGCCAGGGTCTTCTTGGTGGTGGCTTCTCTGAAAGACATGTGGCCATGGGTCAAAATCCCGTACCCCAGTGAACATCCCAATTCCCCACTAAAATGCGTTCTAAAACCAAAACGGTTTTGACCCACAGCCATGTAGCAGACCTGATTCTCCATCCTTCAGATCCAAGCAGACCGTCGCGACCGTCCGCTTCGAGGCCATTGTGCCCATCAACGAGCAGTTTGACGCGCTCCAGGTGGCTTTGAACAGTCAGGGCCTCGGAGAAAGCAAAACAAGTGCACAGTTCCCAACTCGCGGACGCAACTTTGAAGCCTGGAGATCACGCCCCCTTAGAGTTAGTCAGCAAATAATTTTCCCATAACATCGGCAGTTCCATCCAGGAGAAGTATTGACGGTTCCAACGATATTAGACTGAACAGTGAGGTTTGGACATATGAACCCAATTCAATAATTAACAGCAGTATTTCTTATATGCATATAAAGCAGAAACATGTAGAAGCTTCACACAATGTATCAATAGTCATTTTAGTATCAGAAGCAACATTACTGTTGTCACAAGTTAAGCTTCCAGTAGAATCGATATTACCAGACACGTCCACATTTTGTTACGAATGGTTGTTTCGTAGTCTGTCGAAAATTCTGGTTACTAGCATTTGTAGTATCACCAAAACCAAGTGTCACAATAAGGATGATGGACATCAGCATCTTCTGTCGACGCAGGCGTGTATGTTTCCAACTATGGTTCTAATCCGCTTATGGATATATTAGCATTTTCAATTTGTGCTTTAGCATCAGACTCAATTTCCTTTTATTTACACAGCACCTTCAAAATACGATGTTCCGTATGCTTGGTCAAAATTATATGAATTATGAGCCCTACCATTCATTGTAACTCTTGAAGAAGCCCCAAGTTTTCCAACAATAACATCTCCTATGTTGTAGCACCTTATAACCTTTCCAACGCATCAATCTGACAATCCGGCTTAAATTCGACTCCACGGCTGCCTCCAAGCCGCGCGGCATTTTGCTGCATTGGGTTTGTCTCGCTTCCCACACTGCCCATGTGTGAGCCCTCGTTTTGCCTTGTGCCCAGTGCGTGGTTGCAGCTCAGTACTGTGAGGGATCACGGTGGGAAGAGCCGGGTAAGAGCTGCCGTTCGATGTCGCGCTGTCTTGCCCTTATGCCGGTCGCGTTTCGCGACTGTGGCGCTTCTCCGGGCCACACTGACTTGGGTTTTCGAGCCTGAGGGGTGCTTGGCCGGCTTGTACTCGTGGAGGCGATGACGTCCGGGGAGCCTCCTGAGAAGCTGAGAGGAATGGCGCCTTAGGCAGTGGCTCTGCGCTTCTCACCCAGCGCAGCAGCATCTTGAATGTTAGTATTGAGTTGGTTGTGTCGTTTAAACTAATGATTAAGGGCGAGTTCCTTGTTGTAACGAAGTGGTCACTCTGTCAGTTTACTGACTTATCGAAATATCTTGTGTGCTATCATGTGTGACTACCATACAAATAATAAGAACCTGCAATATATCTAACATGGTTGAGCAAGAGAATAGACTTACCTGTCAAGTAGATGAACATATTGCATCATCATTTAAGATAGTACTTTGTCATTTTGGACCTGAGCACCATTATTGATTTTTACATGTCCCGAGTATGCGCTGATGTAAGCAAACTTTGTTGACACATTTCAACTTCCATACGTAGACGTATCAAAATAGGTAGTATACATGTCAATAAACCATTATAATTTTCAACCTCTGCTATTTTCATGTCGCCGTGGTGGCTATATTATGTGTTTTTGTATTGCTTAGGATGACGTGTGTAACTCAACGATTTTGTTCGGGATTTCTTGGTGAAATACCAGGCTTCATGAAATGACCCTTTGTTTTGTAGCCTGATTTTGCTGTAACATTACTATTTACAGTGTTTCTTAATCCTGTTGTTAAATTAGAATTATATGTAGTATTGCTAATTAGTGGCTGTTAGAAGTTGATGGTACGTTGTGTGTTCGAGCTTATTTTCCTAGACCGTGTGGATGATGTGGAATCAACTTATTGATTGAACGAGTATTTGGGGCAGTGTTTTTGGCTGTTTGTATTTATCAGCCTAGTGTTTGAATGAAACAAGCTGGTTTTTGAAGAAATGTTATGAGACCTTGTTGTTGATGAAGCAGTTCAAATAATTGTTAAACGAGTACTTGATGAACTAATGCTAAGAGTAGTATTTGTAGTTACTGTCAAAATGACCTATCAGAGATGTATTGGAAACAACATTACCTACACTACTCGCTATGGTCGCTGTATTATTCATAATGAAGAAAGCGTTTGAACTGATGTATTTGGTAGTACATGTATTTCGGGCTGGTTGTGTGTTTGGGTTTTTTGACGTAAAACATAGCGTCAATCTGTGCCTTTGTTTGTTTGTCTATTCTTCCTGCTTTGTTATTGAGTAACTCAAGTATATCTGATTGATTAGCATAAGACATGTTTTTAAAATCGGTCACCCCGCTTGTAGAACTGATTGCGCTGATTGTGTGTGCCACAAGTTTCTATATCCAAGACTTCGCGTGTTTTCGTTGTTTCGTGCTCCCTTTGACACGAAGCAACTAGTTTCTGTTGTAGTAACCAATGTCTTCAACAAGTTGATTGCCGGCAGTTAGCCGTGCTCTTCTGAAAAAGGATTAAGCAAGAGGCAATGGACGCAAACGTCAGTTATTGATATTATCAACGCTTGCAACTGTCATATGTACATATATACATAACATGGCGCTTTGGGGGTCAAACGAACTGTTATATTCGGCATTCAAGGCTATTTTCATCACATGTAGATATTAAAGCCTGACGGGATGAATGCAACGCTTTCTTTACATCACTTGAACCTTTGCTTATTTAAACAGAGAGGTTCGCTTCCAACAGTTTCCGTTAGTTCCATTTTTTGTGCTAGATGATTTACCTTATAATAGCATTCCTTATGTTAAATTAAACCAATAATTGTGAATTCCTTTTGTTAGACAGACTTATTATTCGGTATTGTTAGCCTTTCGTTTTCTCCTTTTTTCCTCTTCTTTTTTTGGTCGTAAGTTTTCTGCAGCTGGATTATTAAGTTTTTTCGGTTTAGCAGTATCTCTTTGTATGAACATTTCTTGTACTTTTTTGATTCTTAATCGTATCATCCGTTGTTTCGTTGTCGTTGTTCATATTTTGTATCATGAATGTAATGTAGTTTGTCTATAATATCTCCCTCAATGGTTCAGCTTCTTGGGCCGTCTCTGCCTTGGTCTCCATATCCAGGTATGTAATCGCGATCAGTAAGAGGGTTTAATGAAACGGTTGAAACAGGTATTGCTGCGATACTGATAGGGTCTAAGATACTTCTAACATTATGTGGTCATCGCAAGTTTTAGGTCTTATTGATGTAAAAGGTGCTCCGCAAGTGGTTAACTCAACACGTTTTCAGGATAATCCTTCGTTAGTTGTCCGGAAGCTGAACTTGCCAAGACTATGACCAATCAAGCGTTTCATATCATTGGTTTCTTCCAAGTGTCTTTGTATCGTTGTGACTATCGTGTCATTGCAACTGGTACTCCAACATCCGCCAGTATATCATTAACAGTGCAAGAACCAGTTACCATTAATATATGCATATTTTTAAATTTCGGCAGTCAAATTTGACTTTGGGTTATATGAACTCAATATTGTCTTATTCGTGTCATCAGTTTTGTCGGCTTGACTTCTTGATGAAAGAAGGATACTGCTTAACCCTTCCCGTGCGGGGTTTGATATATCAAACTCCGCAGGGCGAAGCGCCATGTTTGATTTCGTAAGTCTATTTTGTGCCATTAAGTGAACTCACATTTACGTACAACAAATCAAATATCGACGGCGCACATAGGATACGTGGCACATGTTCAGGATGAATTGCCAGAATCGTTACAAGCCAATGCACATGTTCATTGCTAAGCTCAGGAAGTGACACTTCCTAACTCGTGGTATGCAAGTCAATCGGGATAAAATGATATACTAGTCTGTTATTCTTCACCGTTGGTTCCAGATGAAGACAACACCCATGTTCATTATATCGCACCACAGGTGGACGAAGGAGTATTTGCAGGCACAGAACTGGCTACGGAACTAAAAGCAGAAACTAAACGGTGCTGTTGGTAGTACTAATTTTTCTAATACTTTTGAGACCACACAGAGTGCAAGCCCAAAGAACATTGCAATTTGTTCAAATGCCGATCGACGATTCGAAAGCCACCGGACTTCACGTTGCCAGCTTGCAGACAATGCTGGATGCTTCAAAGGTGGTAGGCGCACGGAGACCGAAGAATGTTTTCTAGAAGCTTCTTTGGCTGATTCATTTGTCTCCTAGAAAGTTTGACTCGTCCGAGTTGGTTGGCTCATCTGTCCATTTGTCTGGGTCTCTCCCTGACCAACTCGGTGTTTTTGGACTACGTTGCTGGTTCCGCGTGGCTGGGGCAAGCGCTGCGCTTGCCGCGCTTGCCGCGCTTGCCGCGCTTGCCGCGCTTGCCGCGCTTGCCGCGTGAGGCGAGCCGCCAGCGCTGGCAACCAACACTGAGGCGCGGTGCTGGCGGGTGGTTCTTGTTATCTTGCTGGTGCGATTGGGAGGGAAGGGGAAATGGAGTGATTACCCGGTTTCTTTGGTCCCCGAATGCAGAATATCACCAGCAAGTTGGATGGTTTCTTTCAGGTCATTCCAATTCTGATTCTCCGACCAGCAAGTTATTTGGTCCACTTGGTCCGCTTGGTCTACTTGGTCCACTTGGTCCATGAGAGTTTCCCTGTACAGTTGCATCGCACCTTTCAGCATGGACTTTTTCAGGGAGCTGTGGCGCAGAATTGTGGCGGTGAGGTGAGGTGAGGGCGTGGAGGTGAAGAGGTGTGCAGGGTCGAGAATTCGCAAAGGGACAGGTTATGCAATGTTGCACGGCCTTGCTGCTGTCAGCATTTTTTTGTTTTCTTTCGGGATTTTTTAAAAGGTGGGTTTTGCTTTTGACTTCCCTTTAAAACCACACACAACGGGGTACCCTCAAACCAAGACACACCCATTTGGGTATTGGTTGAACGTCTCCATGTGATAAATCAACATGTGAACGGTCATCCCTGGCTTTGCAGCATCTAGTCAAGTTTGGCATCCCCGATGAACAACTCAGCTGCGCAGTTGACGGCCCTCCGCAGCATGGTGGCAGCGCTTGACATGAAGGCGAGGCTTTGCACTTGACTCTCCCACAGCTTCAGGTGAAGCATCACTTTTGAGACGTGTGTGTCCGCTTTGCGCGTTCAAAGATCCTCCTTGAAACTTGATTTGCATGTGGGGCCGATCAAGCCGCTTGGCGCAATTCAAGGTGTACTGGATCCCGAGGCCTTGTACTGGCCAAAATCGAGCGCCGTTGCGGCAGACAGCACTTACTCAGCCTGGGGGCCAAGCGCGGACTGAGGTCAGAAGTCCGTCGCTCTGCAATGCGTTTGCCGTAACCAAACCTGCGACTTCCGCTCTGTTCCCTTTTGCACGGATAGATTGTTTGGTTCTACTTCCTGGTTGGGATTACGGCATATGTATATATATATATGGTTCAAATAAGGATTCCCCAAAATGGTGCTGTGTGGTGTTCCTCTGAACCAATGCATACGGGCAGCCTTCTCGCCTCAAATCGCAACAAAGCAAAAGCCTTACCCATGGAACCAAAGGTCGCGGCACCAGAAGAAACATCGGTTTCTCCGAGGCCATGCTGCAAGCCTACGAGCTGGTGTCCCTGAGCTGCGGCAACACCACCCTGAGCCCGGCGCCCGGCGAAGAAGGGCGCATACAAAACCGCCAGGAGAAGATGGGGTGATCAAAAGGTCCGCGATAGATGGGATGACCATCAGGGAAACCACCAAAAAGGATTCAGCCATGGTCACTTGGAGGCCAGGAATATTGATCGATCCCCAAATAAAGGGACTGGGGGATTCCATGTTTTGGCTCAGCCGCCATTGCCAAGCGGGACGCAAATTTGTGGGTTTCCTTCTAGTTTCCCTTTTTAACCACCCACAAGGGTACCCTCAAAAAACAATCGCACACACACACACACCCATGT